CCATTAGGTTAGGGCCCTAAACCCTACACCCCCCCAAAACGGATTTATTAGTAATTTATTAGGTTGGGCCCCAAACCCCCTCCAAAACGGTTAGATTAGGTTAGGGCCTTAAACCCTAAACCTCCACCCAAAAACGGATCCATTAGGTTAGGGCCCTAAACCCTAAACCTACCCAAAACGGATAGACTAGGTTAGGGCCCTAAACCCTACACGGATCCGTCAGGGCCCCAAACCCTAAACCCCCCCAAGACGGCCCTAAAACCCCCCCCAAAAGGGATCCATTAGGTTGGGGTCCTAAACCCTAAACCCCCCACAAAAAAAAAAAACGGATAGATTAGGTTAGAGCCCTAAACCCTAAACCCGGGTGCTGAGCCTTTGCCCGGGCTTAAGCTTTAGGCGTTTAGGGTTTAGGGTTCTTTCAAGAGTTTAGTGTTCCTTTAAGGGTTCAGAATTAGGGTTTAAGGGTTCAGGGTTTCTTTGAGGGTTTAGGCTTAGGGTTCAGGGGCCCAAATCTTGAGAAGCCACCGCAGGACTGGCCCTCAGTATGCGCAGAATGGGATGGTTTGGGGGTTTACCAATCGTCTCCTTGGTAGTTTCTTTTTTGGGTTAACCAGCTTTGAGGGTTAGGATCCTGCAACATAAAGTCAAGGTCCCCAAAACCAGGAACTACACTGGAGACTCCTGAAGCTTAAAAACAGGTTTGTGTTGGCTTCCTGCTGGTTCCTCTCGCTCCGCTGTTTTGGTTTTAGCCCCAAGGACCGAATAATTAGCGCCGTTTAGAGCTACCGTAGGTTGGCGACTTATATAGCCCCACAATAGTATCATTCGCACGGCCGCAAAGCCATCACACGACCCGCGGCCACGCAGCCCGTGGTCACTCCGACAGACGATGTGGTCGTTTGAATACGTTCATTCGAGTACGTCTACGTCTACCTTTAAGTTGATTTGGTTGCATTTGGGTCTGATTTGCTTGGGTTTGGATCTGAAAAGTTGCTGTCAAGCACACCAATTGAGCACCCATCCCGGCCGCACAGCTACCACGTTGAGATGTACAGAAACCAGTAAAGTGTTCGTTGCGAGGCCCAACCTGAGCTGGAGGCACACGGCAGCCTCCTGGGCAAAGATCTCTGGGCACTCGCCTTGGATTTGGGAGTGCTTGGGATGACAGGCAGCACAAGTTGCGGATGGCCCAGAGTCCCCGCATGCAGGCGACGTCATTTGTTGCCACAAAGCTCGTCCCGAAGATACACAGCTGGCGAAACTAAAGCATTTGGCCAGATTTTGGGCCGGCCCTGT